TCCCCCCACCCCCCGGAATCCGAAAGGTGGCTTCCAGAGATACACCGTCGCCCAAAAGACACCCAAAGCCACTCCGGGATACCGGAGAGGGATCGGGACATCCCTAGGCAATCCAGATTCCACGGCAAAACTACGCCACCGCCAAGAAACCTCAACGGAATGGGATGGACCCCGGTGTCCTTTCCCCTACCTAGGAACTAGCGCGCCTGTGGGAGAAATCACGAAGGCTAAAAAGAGGAAGGGCAAAAGGGAGGGGTGAGGAGGAGGAGGAGGAATGGAAAAAGGGGAGGATGGGGAGGGAGGGATTAGGGGAGGGGAGAGATGGGGGGTAATTAGGTTCGGTCTGAGGAAGAAGACCGACAGGGCTAATTCCTCAGACCAAGAGCCTCTTCACCACGCCAAGGAGCCCCCCTTGAAGAGGAAGAATATACTGAGACATGTCCAGGAGTGTAACAGGAGTTAAAACGCATTAAGTGTATGACGAGTCACGCTTCTTGATGCTCGTTATTCTAAAAGTTCCAACAATTTTGTATCAAATCTCCAGCAAATTCGATTTCATTGAATATACCTTATTTAGTGTACTAGTGCTCTTACTTGATTGTAATAAATAACTAGGATAGTAAAACAAATCGATAAATTGCTTGCTATTATTGTGCAAACGGTAGCATTAAGTTTTTTACAAGGAGTAACTGTCTTAGTTGGAATATGAGGTATGAGTTCTGGAGGTAAAGCTTAAAACAATATTGATGCTCTACTGTATGTTGTATGTATGTAGTAGGTTCGCCGGTCTTGTCCAGGTCCGGGTCTTTTACAGATGGTGACCCGGAGTCGGCCCCCCCGGGTGGGGGTTTCGCTCATCTTCTGTCATCTGTGGTCCCTCCGGCTGAAGGGTGGGAGTCTTTTTTTCTTCTTCCTCTTGCTCTAGTCACATCTTGGTAAGCACGCGTCCTCTCGAGTCTTCGGACACTTGCCGTCCCAGCTGGTGTCATCTTGAGTCTTCGGACACTTGCCGTCCCAGCTGGTGTCATCTTGAGTCTTCGGACACTTGCCGTTCCAGCTGGTGTCATCTTGAGTCTTCGGACACTTGCCGTCCCAGCTGGTGTCATCTTGAGTCTTCGGACACTTGCCGTCCCAGCTGGTGTCATCTTGAGTCTTCAGACACTTGCCGTTCCAGCTGGTGTCATCTTGAATCTTCGGACATTTGCCGTTTCAGCTGGTGTCATCTTGAATCTTCGGACACTAGCCGTCCCAGCTGGTGTCATCTTGAGTCTTCAGACACTTGCCGTTCCAGCTGGTGTGATCTTGAATCTTCGGACACTTGCCGTCCCAGCTGGTGTGATCTTGAGTCTTCGGACACTTGCCGTCCCAGCTGGTATCATCTTGCGTCTTCGGACACTTGCCGTCCCAGCTGGTGTGATCTTGAGTCTTCGGACACTTGCCGTCCCAGTTGGTGTCATCTTGAGTCTTCGGACACTTGCCGTTCCAGCTGGTGTCATCTTGAATCTTCGGACACCTGCCATTCCAGCTGGTTTGATCTTGAATCTTCGGACACTTGCCGTCCCAGCTGGTGTGATCTTGAGTCGGTCGTTGTGGCATGGGCTGAGTGCAGGTCGGCTTCAGGCTGTTGTACCATGCCAGAAACAAATATAGGCCACCATTGTTGTTTTGTAATTGGGATGGTACAGGGGTGAAGGAAGTGTGAGATATTAAAGAATGGAGGGCGGCAGTAGCAGTGGGCCCCGTCGAGATCTCTTCACTACTGTATGTTGAACTATATATGAGTTTAGTAGAAACAAAAATTGAAGCTGCTGTTTTGACAAGTTTTTGAAGTCAGTAAAGTGTGTAGCTATCTAGCAAACTTAAATATCTAGTGTAAAATGGGTTTTCTTACTAAGAGAGCAGTGAAAACAGGACTGAGAAATAACTCCCAGGGTCTACCTGCAGCGTCAGCCATACTTCCCAATTTGTTTGAGATTAGTTTCCATTATCACTGCGTAGAAGCATTATTGCCAAGTGAATATATTAGTATTAGGTAAACAATAAGTTAATAAGAATTTTCTGTATTTTAAGTAGAGATTTTGTCTAGCCTTATCCTAGCCTATCCATGTTAATATTTTATAGCCTTATCCTAGCCTATCCATGTAAGCATCTTTTTTTTAATTCCCTTTGCCTATGTTTTTTGTACCCTTTTGTACATTTCCAGTTACGTTCTAATTTTTTGGATGACTTAACCTGATTGAGCATGACATGTTAGATGATCATGTATATTGCCTCACAATGGTGATAAATTGTCACTTACTTCTAAGTCAGTGTTGTCATTTTTGTGCGTTCTAGGAAGAGATTTTTTGTGGCTTGCGTTATATTTTTTGTAAGAAAATAGCGGCGACCAAGTGGCCGAAGAAAAAGCCAACTTTGACCGAGCTTTATGTTAGTGAGTGAAAGAAGAGTGAGGCCAAATCCTAGTGAGATTCCTGTGCTACATGAACCTCAAATTAATTTCTATGGTAAACGAACCTTTGTTAGATTTCTGTGGAAAAACGAATCCTTGTTAGATTCCTGTGGTAAACGAACCCTTGTTAAATTCATGTGGTAAATGAACCCTTTAAATTTCTGTGGTAAACGAATCCTTGTTAGATTCCTATGGACAACGAATCCTTGTTAGATTCTTGTGGAAAACGAACCCTTGTTAGACTCCTATGGAAAACGAACCCTTGTTAGATTTCTTTGGTAAATGAACCCCAGGGGCGGATCTACTATGAAACTAATGAACTTTAATTAAGCTTCAGGACCCCTAATCCTAGAGGGGCCCCAGAAGCGACTTTAGCTCATATACAATACAATACAATACCTTATTTGGACATGATACATAGTTGCACAAGGAATTATAGTTGGGTGTACATGCCAAGAGTCCCTTGTATGCAGAGCCTTATGGGCAGGCTTAAAATTAACTTAAGATTAGCTAAGCAATGATATATTCAGTGGTAAAAATTACAGTAAATAAAATACAACATGAAGTACAAATGAATATTTTAAGCAATGAAATTTGAACCTTTCAATTAAGAGGCATTATAGTTGTACAAGTTTGTAGCACAACAATCATAATATATAAAAAATTATCAATATACTATTTGTAGCGCAGAAACAGGTCACATGGTCATTAGATGAGTTACTGTGCATTCAAGAGAATGGATTATTCTATTAGGTAATGTAATTAAAATTTTTGGGTCTACTGTATGAGAAGGGGTTGCGAAAGGGCCCCTATAACAGTTCAAGCTTCAGGGCCCCAAAAATGTAGATCCGCCACTGACGAACCCTAGTTAAATTCCTGTGGAAAACGAACCAAAGGTAAATTCCTGTGGTAAACGAATCCTAGTTAGATTCCTGTGGTAAACGAACCCTAGTTAGATTCCTGTGGTAAGTGAAGAACAGAAACATACTGGCAAAAAAAAAAAATAGTCCTCGACCAACAGGGAAGTGATGATAGTATTACATAATTAAATTGCATGTTAAAACTTCTGGAAATCATATGGATGGCCTGTACTTGCGCAAGGGGATGTGATATCTAGTAGGAAGAATGTAGAAAAAAAATAATGATAATCTCAACTAGTCTTTGAGTAAATGTTAAACTTGCAGTACAATATTAATTTATAAATATAGTTTTATAATTTTATAACCCTAGTTCTCATATCAAGTTTATAAGTTTTTGTCATTAAACTCTTTTGAGTCAGATATACGAGGCTCGTGGAAGATAAGATAAGATTTCGTTCGGATTTTTATCCCCGGTGGGTAATCAAGTTTTACTAGAGTCGACAGTATGGTAAGATGCCTACCACTAATAGTACAGGTGAAACTACTCTGAAAACTAGGGTAGTTATGTCAGATGCTTAGGCCTTCCTGCTAAGGCCCATCTACGAACATTTCCCAGTGAACAGGAAGTAGTGGCAGTATTTTTTTTGTATTAATGACTGAGGAAATTCCCCCTTTCCTTTTTTGTCTTTACCCCGACTTTAGCCTGCGGGAGTATGGCCACTATAGCTTTATATGCTGATGGAACTGGGGTGGCCGTTCTTTTCACCACTACTAACGTTCTTTAAACGTCTAGGAGTACTTCCAGCCGTTTAGACGTCCTTGATATCAAAACAGACCTCCTCTGCTCATGATATTCCTGGTCACGTTTGTCCTGATGAAGGAAAAGATGGCCCTGAAGTTATCTGTGTTTGTGGCCTCGGAGAAGCGGACGACAAAGTGGCGGCCATGACGAACAGCCACATCCCTGTAGAGCCCTGCGATGAACTCCCGACCTTGGCACTCATCATTCTCTGAACCTGCAGGCATAGTTGAAGAACATAACACAGTGGTGTAATGAGCACTGTTCAGTAGCACAAACGAACTCGTATGAAGAAAAAATCATAATTAAAATGTGTTCTCTATATTTTGGCTTCACTACTGAAGAAGGCCTCTCTGTGAGGCCGAAATATATAGTATTTCAGTAGGTCTACTAGATAATACTAGGCCCAATTCACGCAACCATTCCCAAACATAGAAAATATGAAGCACTGTTGTAGGCCTCCTAGCTCACACTAGGCCCTACTCACATTCATTTATTCCTACTTATAAGACCATAAGAAAATCGTTTACTGTTGCAGGCGTACTGGTTCATACATGATACATTTCACACCCAGTCATCCTCACTCATAAAAACAAGAAAAAAGGGATCACTGCAGTTGGCTTACTAGCTCATACTAGGCAGATCTACCTTCACCCAAACATTCTCACTCGTACATCCGTGCAATTCTTACAGCTTCCCAAAGTATTTGCTTCACTGACTGCTTGGCAGGTTGTTCCACTCATCTACCTTGGAAAGTAAACGGTAGATGCAGAGACACACTGTATGGAAGAGGAATAGGAAATCTCGCAAATCAAGAACTGGTAAATGATGAACAAGAGAAGGGGTAGTGGATCATGATAAGGAGAGTGATCATACCAGACATGGGACTCGAAGAAACAGCCTGGGTATACTTACCCTTATAATTTGGAAGGAAATCCTTGATCGAGTGGTGCTGGATTTTCCAATGAAAGATATCAGTTTTATTGAGTAGGAGTATAACTGGGGTGGCCTCGAAGGGGGGATACTGTAGCAGCTCCTCGAAAATGTCTAGACTCTCCTGCACACGATTCTTGTCCTGTGGAAAAGGAAGAAGTGAGAGCAGAATGATTTGAGATGCGGGAGGGAGGGTAAGAAGGAAGAGATGAGAGGGAATTAGTACTGGCGATGTGGGAGAGAAGGGAAGAAGGGAGATATGAGAGGAAAGCTGATATAATAGAGGGGAAGGGCAGCGTGAGAGAGTGACAGAGAGACAAGAGGAAGATCGAACTTACCACTATCTAATTTTCTGGTGCTACAATTAGAACTATTTTGACGGCGTCCATGGAGGCGCTTCATGCGAGAGAACGTGAGGAAGTGTCAATGTGAGGTAGGATCATCACCTACACAACTCTAGGTTTCTGACATGGGCGACTCCAGTTTTATATGGGATGGGCTTAGGGGTGGTGGGCAGGATGGAAGAGGGGGCTAAGAGACTTGTGGTGAAAACCTAATATGTAATACCGACAATTTATCCCCTTGGACTCTAGGGGATCATTTCGACTGATACTTGCCTCTGTGGCCTCCTCGACGCGTTGATCGTACTCTGAAAGCGAGGCCAGGAGGAGTATAGTTGTCGGATGTTGTTGATTAACCCACATAGTGCGTTCTGGCCTCTGACCCCCCATGTCGTGCATAGTTATACGGAGATCCCCGAGGTCGTATGTTGAGGTAAATGAGCCCTTCGTCGGGAAGCGCATGCGCAGGATGTCCTCAATATTAGGTACATAGTTCTCATCGAGGATTCTCTCTGCACTGGTAATGAAGTACTGTGCGTTGGTCATCAGGTGATACTCGTTACCCCTTAAATACACCTCCTGCACGCCAGGATCCTCCCATAGTACTCTTATCTGCTCCACCAGACAAGGATCTATTTGGGCGTCTTCCTGCAGGTACTCCTTCAGAAGTTCCATATTAGCAAACCTCTGAGCAGCGTCCTGAGCCTCGTGTGTAGCCTGAAGAACGCCGAAGGTGCTCATGGCGTTAACTATTTTGTTGAGACTCTCCAGTAGATTGTGACGAATGTGGGGCTGGTGTCTGTCAAAATAAGAACTAAAGTTAAACTCTGTCCATCATTTAGGAAGGGCACAGACCAAATGTTAACACTGAAGCATGTAAGTGTGCAGTACTTGGATAAGGGTAAAGAGCTGTGTGTTGCATTTATGGATTTAGAAAAGGCATATGATAGTAATGGAAAGGGGAACCATGGGGCATATGTCGCAAATGTATTGAATTGTAGGAAAGTTACTAAAAGTAGTTAAGAATTTTATGTAGAGAGTGAGACGCAGGTTATGGTATGTAGAAAGGAAGGGGGACAGGAATGCGTGATGCTGTTTAGCACATTAATACATGGGGTTGTAAAAGAAGTGAAGGTTAAGGTGTCGGGAGAGGTGTGGGATTAAAAGATGTTGGATTGAAATACAAAGCGGGAGTTATCACAGTTGCTCTTTGCTAATGACAGCTCTTTTGGGGGATTCTGGAAACAAGTTGCTAAGGTTGGCAGACGAGTTTGTGAGGGATATGTAAAAGAAAGAAATCAAAAGTGAATACAGAAAAGAGAAACAAAAAATCTAAGAAATAACAAATCGAATATCAGACTGGAGGAAGAAAGTATGGCGGAAGTGGATGTATTTAGATATTTGGGAGTGGATAGGAAGGACGTGGTAAAACATAGAAGAGAGGGGGAAAGAAGGGGGTTTTAGGCGGTTCTGTGGAAGAAATTTTGCTGTATGAAGGTCCCAAAACAGTTTTACGGGGGTTTTGTGGGCATGAGTTCTGGGAGTGCCAGCGGGGAAAGGTAGAGGCGCTGGAGATGTTTGGGGAACGTGTGGGTGTAAATATTATGAAAAGTAAAGGGCACAAGTGAACTAATGTGAATTTTATTGGGGCCCACTTTTTTGTTCCCCAGGAGCTTTACCCAAGGGTTTTGAAAAAGCCCCTGGGACCCAAAACGTTGCCACATAAATGTCAATTAGTTGCACTTGTTTCCTTTTTTTTTTACATATTGTGGGTTTAATTTTTTTTTTTTTTTTTACCAACTTTATTACAAGGGTGTAAATATTTTTTGGGAGAATTTGGAGAATAAAAATTTAAAAGGCTATGAGGGGCCCCCTTATGATTTTAATTCAGGGGGGGGAAAAGGGCTTTGGTCATGTAGGGGAAAATTTGGACAAAATGGGTTTGAAAAAATAGAGTGCATAAATTTGGGGTGTATGTAGGGGGGGGTAAGGGTCATCCCGGGGGGCGGTTGGGGGAAAGGGTTTTTTTAAAACGAGGCTAAAGCTTTAGTTTTGGGGGTTAAGGGGTTTCCCCAGCAAGTTTGGTGGGGTGTTAAATAGCTTTTACGTGGGGGAAGGTTGCTTAAGGGAAAAACCGGAAGTTAAAGTGTGAGCAGTTTTAACTTTTATGAAGGTTTTAAAGGAAAAATTTGGTTTTGTAATTGAGCCCGGGAAAGGACGGAAAGGGTAGTGCCTGCCCCCTGAAGGGGGGGTGGCGGTTCCCAAAAAAAAGGGGAATTTGATTGTGATTTAAACACTTTTTGAAAAAGGACAACATTTAATTAAATGACTGTAAAAATTTTTTCCCTCTTTGGGACAGCGTCCCTTGGCGGAAGGGAGGGCCCAGACGAGGTGAAAGAAAAAATTATTATCGTTTTTAACCCCAAAAAAGCTCAAAACCCTTAGAAGATTTTAAAAAAAAAAAAACCCCGGAAAAAGGGCCAAAAAACAAACCATTAAAATAAAGTAATGGGTTGGGGGGAAAAGTGTCGAGGGCGGGCCCCAAATTGCCCCTTGCTAAAAACAACTTTACGGGAAAGCGAAGATATGTGAGGAAAGGATAAAATCCCGGGGACAATAAAAAAGTTAAGACACTTTGTGCAACTCTGGATATTTTTAAAAATTTATTAGACTTTTCCCTCAGTTTTTATCAATAACCAATTCCATCTATTACAAAAATATTTCACCCCTCCCTTAACAAAACCCCCCCTTTTAAAAACCCAAAACTTTTTAATTCTAATTAAACATCCATTTTAAATTTTCTTTTAATTTCCCCCTTTTAATTAAAAAAAATTTAAAAAAAAAAATTTTTTTTAAAAATTTTTAAATTTAAAATTTTTCAAAAATTCCCATTAAAATTTTTTTTAAATAAAAAAAAAAATTTAAAAAATTTTTTTAAATTTTTAAATTAATTTTTTTAAATTTGTAATTTAAAAAACACCCCCATTAATATCCTTCCCAAAAATTCCCCACCCAAAAATTTTAAATCCCCTCTAACCAAATCCCCATAAAATTTTGATGTTAAGTTTGGGGAAAGGATAAAAACCCCCTAAAAATTTGCCCCACTTAACTTAACCCCCAAACCCCCCCCCATTTTTAAAAATAAAATTCCAATTATAAAAACCCTAATATTTTTCCTTTTAAAATTTCCCCCTTTCCCTTTATTATTTAAAACAAAATTCTACAACCCCAAAAATCTTTTTTTTAACCCATAAAACCCTCCCCCCCAAAAACCCCACCACACCTTTCCTTTTCCTAAACCCAACGAAAAAAACTTTTTTTATTTCTACTTCTTACAATTATGTTGGTTTGTTTGTTGTGGAGGGCCGAAAAAGTTATTTAAATAAAATACCCAAAATTTGCCATGTTTAAAAAATTAAATTTGGAAAAATTTTATACCTTTTCCCCAAAAACTTTCATACCCTGAAACACCCTTGGAATCTTTTTTTCGACCCCTCTACAAAATTCTTCACGGCTGCTGAACAAAACCCATCCCCTTTGGGAAGGACCACCTTCAGGGGGAATCCCCCCCTCCCTTTGCCCGCCCTCGTTGCTGCCCCCTTTCACGACGCCTAAAAAAAGCGCCAGTTTCTTCCCTTTTGCTCCAGATTTCCCCTTCCCCACGATGCTTTTAAAAAAAAACCCAAAAACCCGGGGGGAAAAAACCCCAAAATTTTTTAAAAAATTTCTACTGTTTTCCTTTTAATTTTTAAACTTTAAATAAACCCCCTTTTTTAAAAAACTTCTACTAAAATTTAAAAAAATCCAATTTGAAAATTTTTTTAATTTTCAAATTTTCTTAAAAAACCTTTCCCCAAAATTTTAAGACACTAAAAACAAGGAATTTTTCCAAAAAACCTCCCAAACCTTTTTCACCCCCTCCAAAAACCCAAACCTTTAAACCCTACTTCCAAAAATTTTCCCCCTAACCATACCCCCTCTTTTTTTTCCCCTTTCCCTTTCATTTACCCCTTTAAAAACCCCAAAGGGTTTTTCCTTTCCCCCAATTTCCCCCCCCACATCTTAACACTAAACCAAACCAATTTACCATCATACCCCCTTTTTTCCTTTTAAACCAAAATTTGAAAAACCATAAACAAACATACAACCAATAAAATCACCCCCCCAATTTTTCCCCCCCCAACACCCCCAAAACCCCTTTCTTTTTTTCCCTTTTTAAACCCCCACAAATTTTAAAAAACCCCAAAACACCCCCAAAAATCCCCAAAACCCCCTTTCCACAAAATTTCCCCCCAACCCCTCCCTTTCAAAACCCCCCCAAATTTTCCCTTAAACCCCTTTTAACCCCCCCCTATTCCCATTTAAAATCCCCCCCCCACCCACCCCCCCTCTCCCTCCAAAAATTCCTCCCCCCCCCTATAAAAACCCACCCCCCCCCCTTTTTCCCCAAACCCCCCCACTTTAACCAAAAATCCAACCAAACTTTTACCCCCAATCTTTGAATTATTCCTTCCCCCCCCTAAACCCCATAAATCTTTTTTTAAACCCTTTTTAATCAAAACCCCTTTTTTATAAAAAAAAATACCCTTTTCCCCCATTTCCCCCTTTAACTTTTACCCCAAAATTTTAACAAAAACCCCCAAAAAAATTTTTCAAAAAATTCCACAAATCAAACTCCCCAATTTTTCCCCAAAATTTTCTATACAAATTCCCCCAAAACCCCTTTAAACAATTTATCTTCAAAAAAATTACAATTTTATTTCCCATTCCAATAAACCACCCTTATAAAAATTCACCATATTTCCCCAACCCAAAAACCCTAACCAACAAACCAACACAATCCCATCCCGGGCCCCGGGGAAAAAACCTTAAACCCCTTCAACAAAATTTTTTAATTTATATTTTTTACTCCCCCAAATTGTACAACCTAATTTTGGTTCGGGGTTTCAAGGACCTCCCCGGCCCCGCCTTTAAAATTGTTTTTTTTAACGCCCCTTTTCTCTCTCCCCTCCCCCTTCCTAGCTGTTTTAAAAACCCCCTTTTAAAAAAAAAAACCTTGTATTTTTCCTCCCTTTCCAAACTGTGTGCGTGTTTTTGTGTGGGGTTTGTTAGTTACCATTTTTTCTGGGGAAATTTGTCAAAATTTTAGACACTAGGCCTGTTGTATGTGTGTACTCACCAATTGCACTCACCTAATTGTGGTTGCAGGGATCGATACTCAGCTCCTGGCTCCGCCTCTTCACTGACCGCTACTGGGTCCTCCCTCTCCCTGCTCCATGAACTTTATCTTACCTCGTCTTAAAACTATGTATAGTTCCTGCCTCCACTACATCACTTGTCAGACTATTCTACTTCCTAACAACTCTGTGGCTGGAGAAATACTTCCTAACATCCCTTTGACTCATCTGAGTCTTCAACTTCCAATTGTGGCCAGTTGTTTCTGTGTCCAATCTCTAGAACATCCTGTATCTGTCCACCTTATCTATTCCACGCAGTATTTTGTATGTTGTTATCATGTCACCCCTGACCCTCCTGTCCTCCAGTGTCGTCAGACCGATTTCCCTTAACCTTTCTTCGTAGGACATTCCCCTTAGCTCTGAAACCAGCACTTTCTCAAATTTCTTGACGTGCTTGACCAGGTGTGGGTTCCAAACTGGTACTGCGTACTGGTGCTGTGTGTACTCGCCTATTTGTACTCACCTATTTGTGGTTGCAGGGGTCGATTCACAGCTCATGGCCCCGCCTCTTCGCTGATTGCTACTAGGCCCTTTCTCTCCCTGCCCCATGAGCTCTATCATACCTCGCCTTAAAACTATGTATGGTTCCC